ATGTATGGATCACTTGGGTTGTTACCAACATCTGGTGAACATTTCATGTCATTAGCACCTCTAGTAATGTATTTACTGAGAAAAATGGTGACGTGTTCAATGCTTATTTTACCCGCTGTATATACTGTATATACATAACACCACTCTGGGGTGTTTGAAGACATTAGATGGTGCTGATAAGAAATCTTTATTTGACATGCAAACATGATCAAGTGAGGACCTGATAATGCCTCTGGTGTTCCAGTTCACTTTCTGTTTGGTTGAAATGATTGGTGACGATATTGTTTAAATCTATGTTTACTCAAATATGATCCAAAGGTCAAGTTGGGAAAACAAAAAACCGGTAGCCAGGCAACAATCTTTAAACAGCAAAGCACAAACTGGTTACACTAGAATGACAAAACAAGGAATTAAAGATGGACATGGATGAAAGATATAAAAGGTACAAAAAAATTCATCCAACTGTTGAGTTGAAGAAAAACAAGACTACAAATAAAACAGGAGGGACTGGTAGATAGAGCTGAGTTAAAGCAACATGGGTTAGCAAAAATAAAAGAGAACAAACAAACAACAGTCATACTCACACTTCTTCAGACCAGGTAATAACCACTGTTTTCCACGATGATCCACCCTGCAGGAAGAAACAAAGGTATTTTATGAAACAAACCTTGAGATCTTTTAGACTTTAACTGATCCATCATGGAGACTGTAAAAGTTGTTTTGTTTCATTTGTCATTTTAGCTTCTTGTGAGAAAATAATCAGGAACTTAAAAAACAAGTGGGGATTAACTGGGAATATTTGTGGTTCTTGACCATGAGAATTACAACTAACAACCACAGGATAGATTTCTTCATGTTCATTGGAAAGTTAGGGACATGGATTTTAAATAAACCGAATGTGGATCAAGAAGCTGTGACCAGAGGGACATTGGTGCTTTTTGTGGTAGAAACCAATTGTCAAATTGAAGAAGAAGACCTTTGAGGGTCAAATTGTTAATGTCCAACCAATACCAGTGGTTAGCAAAAAATACAGTATATGGTGGTGAGTGTATTTCTTGCAAAGGCGAAAACTCGATTAGATTTTCTAATTTAGAAATCTATTCAACGGTAAAGAAAAGAGTACATAGTCTTTTCTGGGATATGGTGGTTTTGGTGAGAAAATTATGTACTTTAACAGAAGATATCGGTAAATGAATCCAGTCAACATTTCCACTAACAAGGAGGCAGGAATAATGGGAAAATGCACAGAGGTAAAACCATTCATTAAAAACGGACAGTTTAAATTTACAGGTTGGGGACATTTTGATATGAGAAAATACCTGAGAATGTCCAGTCTGCAGTTTGAGTCTTCAACTCTGGAAGAAAGAACCTTCATTCCTGTGTCTCCTATATGGTTGTAGCTCAGGTCCAACTCTTTGAGATGAGACAAGTTGCAGCTCAGAGCTGAGGCCAGAGAAGCACAACCTTCATCTGTGATCTGACAACCTGACAGCCTAAAAATGGGAAAGCAAATAAAGAAAACAATCACAAAGATGCTATATAACACTATGAACCAGGAACTGGATTCTACCATATCAAACACTAGTGTCTTCTAACCTGAGAGATTCCAGTTTACAAAGAGGACTCTGAAGTCCCTCAGAGAGACGCTTCACTCCTGAATCCTGCAGCTTGTTGTTGCTCAGATCCAGCTCTCTGAGACGGGAGGATGAACAACTAAGAATCTGAGATAGAGCTTCACAACTTCTCTCTGATAGGTTGCAGCCACTCAGTCTGGAGAGACATTAACAATGAACAATAAACTGTTTCATGTAAAATGTACAAAAAGTACATCTACCTACATGGCTTTGTTGGAGACTTTGACCACTGGCAACAACTTCCGGAGAGCCTCCTCTGTTGCAGAGTACTTCTTCAGGTCAAACAGGTCCATATCTTTTTCTGATGACAGTAAGATGAAGACCAGAGCGGACCACTGAGCATGAGACAGTTCATCTGTGGAAAGATCTCCTGATCTCAGGAAATGTTGAATCTCGTCTTCCAGAGACCGATCATCAAGCTCATTTAGACAATGGAACAGGTTGATGGTTTTCTCAACAGGCAGATTCTCACTGATCTTCTTCTTGATGTACTGGATGGTTTCCTGCTTGGTTTGTTTTCTATTTCCTGTATCTGTTATCAAGCCATGGAGGAAAGACTGGTTGGATGACAGAGAAAGACCCAAGAGGAAGCGCAGGAATAAATCCAGGTGTCCATTTGAACTTTGTAAGGCCTTGTCTACAGCTGTTTGGTGGAGTTGTGTCTCCGCAGAATCGGGATTTGTTGTGACAGAGTTTTCTGATGTTTGAGGTGACTCTGTCAACATGATGACACCATTTTGGTCAAAAGTCAGACGAACAAAAAGAGCAGCCAGAAACTCCTGGACACTCAGATGGACGAAGCAGAACACCTTGACCTGGTACAGTCCTCTCTCCTCTCTAAGGATCTGAGTGAAGACTCCTGAGTAAACTGAGGCATCTCTGATATCAATACCACATGCTGTCAGGTCAGACTCATAAAAGATCAGGTTTCCTTTCAACAGCTGCTCAAAAGCCAGTTTTCCTAAAGACTCAATCTCCCTTCTGCATTGTGGACTCCAGCTTTTGTCCATCTCATGTGATCCGTCATATTTGATCTTCTTCATGTTGATCTGAACCATCAGGAAGTGGATGTACAGCTCAGTCAGAGTCTTGGGCAGCTCCGGCCCACCTTTGGTTTTCATCAGATCCTCCAGAACCGTAGCATTGATCCAGCAGAAGACTGGGATGTGGCACATGATGTGGAGGCTCCGTGAGGTCTTGATGTGAGAAATGATCTTTTTTGCCTGCCTCTTATCTTTGAACTTCTTCCTGAAGTACTCCTCCTTCTGTGGGTCGGTGAACCCTCTGACCTCTGTCACCAGGTCAACACACTCAGCAGGGATCTGATTGGCTGCTGCAGGTCTTGTGGTTATCCAGAAGCGAGCAGAGGGAAGCAGGTTCCCCCTGATCAGGTTGGTCAGCAAAACATCCACTGAGGTGGACTCTGTGACATCAGTCAGGACGTGGTTCCTATGGAAGTCCAGAGGAAGTCGACACTCATCCAGACCATCAAAGATGAACAGAACCTGGAACTCATCAAACCTGAATGTTCCTTTGGTTTCAGAGAAGAAGTGATGAACAAGTTCCACCAAGCTGAACTTTGTCTCTTTTAGCACATTCAGCTCTCTGAAAGAAAACGGGAACAGGAAGTGGATGTCCTGGTTAGTTTTGTCTTCAGCCCAGTCTAGAGTGAACTTCTGAGTTAGGACAGTTTTCCCAATGCCAGCTACTCCCTTTGTCAAAACCTTTCTAATTGGTTCATTTCTTCCAGGTTGGGGTTGAAAGATTTCTTGTTGTCTGATGGTTGTTTCTGGTTTGTGTGGTTTCCAGGATGTCTTTTCAATCTGTCTGACCTCATGTTCATCATTGACCTCTCCAGTTCCTCCTTCTGTGATGTAGAGTTCTGTGTAGATCTGGTTCAGGAGAGTCGGGTTTCCAGCTTTAGCGATCCCCTCGAACACAGACTCAAACCTCTTCTTCAGGCTAGACTTGTGTTTTTGTTGTAACTCTGTAGAAGAAACCCCTAAAAAAGATGCCAGCGTTCTTAGTTCTTCGAACAGTTTTTTGTTCATGTGCATGAAATAACAAAACACAAAGTGAGCTTACAATTGGAACTTCAGCATATTTCTTTGACAATTTGTATGACCCCAAACCACAAAAAACTGTTCCTGTTTTGCTGAACTTCATAGATTCTGAGCAGGTAGATCAATTTAAACAGTCATGACCAATGCAGAGTCAAAATTTTAAACTTTGGTGTTTCCAACTTGATTCTGCTTTTGTATATGATTACTATACTTTTGCTATACATACTACTATACTGACACTATACATACTATACTGCATGGGTACTAAGTATGAAATCCCATTAACACACAAAATGGAGATGCTAGTGAATGCCCAAGTGAGGAAAATCTTGGCTACCAAGATGTTTCAGCAACTGAAAATTATATCAGAATAAAACCATCTATCTGCCTCAATCAGGCATAGTGCAGGAGTATACTGTATGTGTACCAAAGTGGGACTGGACATGACATTCAAAAGTAACTAAATCTTTCATTGTAAAACATGGTACACCTACCCTTGTGACCAGAGGAATCAAGACCTATAAGGTCTTGCTTCTAAGCAGAAGCAAAGGTTTATCTCAGACACCAGGACATTGTAGGCCTAACATGGCAGAGGGGATCTTGGCTTGGCAAAAACCAAGAACTAAATAACATGGTTTTCCCCAGAAAACTTGCTAAGTAGGGCTGCTAGAGTGGTTGCAGACTGGTAATGTTTGAAATGCTGGAAGGTACACCACTAAACACAAAAAAACAGCTGGACAAAATGTGATGGACTCAAGATTACATGTAGTAAGCAGTGAAACATGAAAACAAACAGGCTACAAAAAGGAACTAAACTCATATCTTTGGAGTGGAAAAGATGTGTGCAGTCCCAAAAACTCTTACATCCTGGTAGGATCCAAAAATGGCTTTTGGTGGGGACACACACACACACCAGGGGCCTTAACCGAGTACTTGAGTGCTTGGCCTCAACTCTAGAGTACAAAAGAGTTTGAACCAACATCTCTCCCTTAACTGGTCAGGCTACATTCCTGTAGCAAATAGGTAGATCTAGTTGGGGTGAGATTTGTGGCTTGTTCCACCGCAAAGCTTCTCAAGATAATTGGAAATAGAGGGCAGTCACAGGGGAACTGGTTCCTATCTCCATCAAGCCAAATGTGTTTGGTTGCCATGTCATATAAAATGCGTAAAAAGAGGCAAATGTTGCGATTTCTGAGAACAACAAAAACACATCTTGAGTCACCTTTTTTCTTTTACACATCAAATGAGTTAAAATAATCTTACTGCACTGCAGACTGTCAGCGAGTTCCTTTTGGTTCATGTTTCTCAAGAAATTCAAGGCAATGTTTAGAAACGAGTCTCTGCTGGTCTTCTTCAGGTCCTCATCTACAGCATCCAACATTGTTTCATTCTCTAAGCGTTCTTGGTAATCTGAACCAAGGACCTTCTGGAACTTATTCAGCTCTGTCTCCACAAATTGTGTGATGTTTTCCTTCAGAAGCTGTTAGAGGGGAAAAAAATATCGAAAGGATTAAATTGTATGTTAAAACCAATATAACAGTATTAATTGGTGAGCTAACATGGTTGAGTCAGGTCCTCTGGACAGATAAGTCTTTGCTGAAACATTTTTTCTTTTATCCAAGAAACTTATTAGTCTGAGGAGTTGCAAGTAAACTCAGCCTTATCAGTACCTTCTCACAGCAGATCAATCAGTTTGCTAGTGACACCAAAAACTTGTTCACATGCAAAAGGAGGCCCATCAGCCTAAAAACCAATTATTAGTGCCCCGATGGTTGCTTATATACTTTGCTTATATACGTTGCTTATATACTTTCAATAACAGCATTGTAAGAGGGGGACAATTGGACACAAAGCCCCCCCCCCAAAAAAAAAAAACAATAGAGAGTTATTCTTTACACAAATGTTTTCCTTTACTCCTCTCTCAAACCAAGATTCCTTTCTATCAAGATGAAATGAGAGCATCTTCATCCCTGAAAGAGGGACAGCTGGCCTGTAAGTGTAATCTGTAAAGTCCTGGCCTGTAGATGACTGTAGACTGCAGAGTCCTGACCTGTAGATGAGTGTAAATTGCACAATCCTGGCCTGTAGATGAATGTAAACTGTAGAGTCCTGGCCCGTAGATGAGTGTAAACAGCATAGTCCTGGCCTGTAGATGAGTGTAAACTGCATAGTCCTGGCCTGTACATGAATGTAAACTGCATAGTCCTGGCCTGTAGAGGAGTGTAAACTGCAGATTCCTGGCCTGTAGATGGGTGTCAACTGTAGAATCCTGGCCTGTAGATGAGTGTAAACTGTAGAGTCCTGGCCTGTAGATGAATGTAAACTGCAGAGTCATGGTCTGCAGATCAGTGTAAACTGTAAAATCTTGAACTGTAGATGAGTGTAAACTGCAGAGTCCTGGCCTGTAGATGAATGTAAACTGCAGAGTCCTGGTCTGTAGATCAGTGTAAACTGTATAATCTTGGCCTGTAGATGACTGTAGACTGCAGAGTCCTGACCTGTAGATGAGTGTAAACTGCA